TATGAATCAAAATGAATCACCATTTTGTGATTCATGCCCGGCTCTACGACACATGTCCAACAGAAGAGGTCAAAAGGGCCTTTCCCCCAGTCTAAACATAACCTGTAACATACACACATCAGCAGCTTCTCAAATCTATGAGCATCACAAACAAAATAGCTCATGTGCATTTATTACTTGCTTAAATACCCATCAGTGTGTGCAAGGCTAATAAGAATAATTCAATAGAGATAAAATTGCACAAGTTGATTTTAATACTGGTGAAGTAATACTCTATCGTGGTGCAAACCTACATATGTGATGAACAAACTGCAGGATACAATACACTGCTGCAGTTTTCTTCCCAGGGAAAAGGAATGAAAGAAATCCTTTTACAATTTTAATTCAATCACATCATGCTGGTATGAAAATACTAGCTATGGCCTTCCAGCTATCTAGCAGCCATGAATACCTGAATATTGCGATGTTCATTAAGCAAATACAACACTGCTTAATTTGAGTCAACAAACCAGAATGCCTCCATTTCTGTTGAGGGCTTAGATTATTTTGATAAGTGGGGATATTATCTTTATTGGTGTAAACTGATAGCACAGGTTACTTCAGTTTCCTCTAAGCAGCAAAGATATATAGACTCAGTGTGCTGAAAAAGTATTACATTAAACTAAAATAAAATAAAATGCAGCCCTGTCTCCTGAGTTCACCAAACCATTTGTTTGCAAATAGCGGAGAATGTGGACACTAAGCCACAGAGACATTTTAAAGTGCAGAAATCTACTTACAACATGGGAATCATTCAAATGTCTGCACAAAGTACAGACTATATTCAGTTCCATCAACATCTTCAAACAGAAGGTTAACAAGTGGCACAGTAAGATAAAAACATATTAATACATTTAAATCAACTCCATTTGTGCTCCAAAAGGGCTCATTTTTCACAAAGTTCACATCTGAGCTTTTACCCCCAGTAAGTCATGGTTCCACAATCTTACCTTTTTCCCTTTTCCCCCCTTGTCTAAACTGCGTAACTATACAAAATGTAAACTGGGGAGGTATACCTCTATTTCAACATTTCTAACAAGGAAAGCTGCAGAGAATGTAAGGCTTTTAATGCAATACTTTAAAAAGTGCTTTCCTCCCCTTTTGCAGTGTTTAGGAAATCCGTTGTGACAAACCTCAGCTTTTTGATGTGCGTCACCTTTTGCCAAAACATTTTTAGCTGTAAACTTCAGAATGGTGCTGAGGACATTACCTTTTTCTATGGAAAATTTCCCGGAGCATCACTGCAGAAAAGAATTTATCCTAAGTATTTATCAAAAACTTGAAAAACCTTTGAAGATCAATAGAAGGCACGTATCCTTTCCAAGGTGCTCTGTCCAAGATGGCATCTTTGTACTATCCAATCTATGGGTGCAAGGCAGTAATGACACTATTTGGAGCATTATTGTTTACGGACACACACACCCCAAGTTGTTAGTATATAATATCACAGTAAAATATCCAAGCCAGTCATATTACCCACATACTATGGGTGAGGGGTACATTGAGGCTTCAATATGGTGAATAGTCTAAAACTGCCTAGGTGAAATAACAAGTTAAGGCAAATGCATATTTTCTCCTCTTACATTGCTATCCCTCCAGTCATGCAAATCTTTCAGAGCTATGAGACATAAAACATGCAAACAAAGCCAGGCTATCTCTCAGTTGTCCAATTACAGAATCAAAAGCCACTAGTGTGCCATTTATGGGTTGAGGTAAGCCTATGTTAAACAGACTTTTTTTTTTTAAAAAAGGGGGAGCTCTGCTTCTAATGATAACTGTAAAAATTCAAGGCAGAAAAAAGATCCCACTTTGAACTAGGTGCCTGTACCTTATGTCTGATGTCCTTTTCCCACAACACCATGCTAATCATTAAAAATTAACACCTCTATTTTTAAATTAGCACTTTTGATTGGCAAGAAGGGAAACAAATGAAGGCAAAAGCCACAGATTTCTCCTTTTAAATTGGAGAAACAACCACCCTCCCAGATTAAAACTGACTATTCCTGATTATTTCACCTAGATAGATTCTCAGTGCCAACAGCTAACAACATCATAATTTTGGAGAGCACTGGCCTGAATCTTCTGAAGAATATGATTAGTTCTGGTGGCTGTTCAGATGGGAAACATACTCCTAATGGTTTCTTCTTGTAAACCAGAGAGAAAAACTCATTTTAATACAGTAAATCAGAGTTAAAATACGGTAAGCCATTTGAATCAGTGGAACTACAGAGAAGGACTCACTAGATCCCCATTGATCAGGTGGGTCTACTCTAGTGTGATTTATTATATTAAGCAACAGGATTTTAGGCAATGCCTGTTTAGCTGCAAAAGCAGAATACTTCTGGGAAGCTTAGTGAACTTAGAATATGGGACTCTGACTTATTTCCTGTGGGTTGGGTCCAAATTTTGATGCATAGAACTGGGCTGGCAAGAAGGAGACTTCTTTGTCCCTCTTCTCCATGGCAGCCCTTCCAGCCCTTTAAGAATGCTGGATGGAGGGTCAGGGAATCCTGATGAATGGGGGCGTGCTTTGTGGTGCAGCAAGTAGATCACCAAATCATTGAAAATTGGGTGGAGGCACCTTCCCTAAACAGATCCCTTCTGCAAGCAGAAGGCAGATCCTGGGCATAATCTATTGTGCTTAAATTCTGACTTAACTCTTCTTGGCAGGTTCTAATATCTTAGGGCAAGGAAAGGTTTGAGTTTGGCATAATAGTGCAGCTTAAAAGTCTTTATGTAGATCAGCATGACAAATCTATTACAAAATAGTTTACATCTCAACACTCAGACTTTAAAAATAGATTTCAATATATTTTGTTGGCAACACAGCATAAAATACTTGAGGTCCATACAAGGTTCTAAACTTTGAATACTAAAATAAATATCTTGGTCCCAAGACTATTTGCTCATGGTTTCATATGGATGAGCAGAGATTTTTTTCCTTTTGATATAAAATTAAATTTGATTCTTTCCTCACACAGAAGAGCATCCTTATCCCAATAAACTGTCCAGTGCAAAGTGAATTAATTAGTGCACAATTTAATTATTTCCTGGGGCAGCCCAGGAAATTCAGGCAGCCAAATTAAATGTTACATATAAATAAGTACACCATCCTCTCCAGACTCTTGGACAAGGAAAAGCTGATTCCAAAATGATAACTGAAATCAGGAACGCAGTAGACTGAACATTTTTCTCTCTTGCTGCTTCTGGGCTCCACATTTCTCCCTCTCCAACAGGTTTCATTCCTGCATATGTAAAACTGCAAGAAAATAAGTATTTAAGCCACCCAGGAGAGAAAATCTCAAGAGGCATGAGAAATGTGGTGCCTCAGAAGTGGATATGCTGCAAAGTGGCAAAAAAGGGATTACAGATCAGGGTGGTACAACATCTAGTTCAGTCCTTAAAACATTACTCAGCTACCGATTTGTAGTGGACTATTATAGTCTACTTTCTGAGATTCTATACAGCTATGTTTAAAAAAAAAAGATGACTAACCTACATGTACAAGTTATTCTCAACAGTTCTATTGTAAGAGTCTATTAAGTTGGTCTGCAGCCATGCTGTGTACATTCACGCTGTAGTAGAAACAGCCCAAGATATTTGGGTGCCTGAGGGAAAACATTCAAGAAATTCACCCATGGTGGCACACCTACAGTAACTAATTTAAATAATCTTTGGCTGCCTTTTAATAGTATACCAAATTCTGTTGCCTGAGGGAGTCTGTATCATCCTGCTAGCCTTAAATCTAGCCTTAGTCTTATGTCCTCTGTTAGGAGTCTGTTGCCTGAGGGAGACTGTATCATCCTGCTAGCCTTAGTCTTATGTCCTCTGTTAGGAGGCAGAGACTTTTATCTGAATATTTGGGCTCTGTGTGTGTTGCTGCAGATGGTTACTGAAACAAGACATGGCAGTGCTTCAATATATAAACACACATCACTGGTTATCAGACATGCAGCAGAGTGTGATTTCTTACTACTGGCCTTCAAACCTTATAAGAGGATGAAAATAAATGTCGTAAAAATGCAAGATGTTGTTACAAAGATTAGCTGGACAGAACTGGGACAATACTATGACTATATTCAGTTTGCCTTTGTCTTTCCCCTTGTATTCATCCACCCACTGCATCCCATTATTCCTGAATAGTTTCTCTTGTCAGGAGAGTTGAAAACTATGGCTTTAGGTTTTGTTAATTATATTAACAAAAATTATGTTTTATTTTGCTGAAACAGCATTTACTATATAAAAATAGACCGGGGTCCAAAATTAGTATTCTGTGGGCACATGAGAATTTTTTCAATTCCTTGCACTCTCCAGCCCATGTGCCTCATGAAAAGTGATATTAGTCATATTAGTCAGCTGGGTGGGTTCCCAATGGAATGGCACAAGAGGTCAGTGGGGAGGTGCAAACAGGGATGGTCACTCAACAATACAGAGGGAGAATATAGAAGAGCTTTGCGTCACTGACAATGCTTGGAATCCTCATTATGAATAATATTTCCAAAATGTTGTGAGATAAAAATTTAGGATTAGGGTGCTTACACCTCAAAAGAGGAAATTCATACTGTTATTATATATATTTATTGTACTGTGCATCTGTTTTATAAATGTACAGTGGTGCCTCGCTTAGCGACGTTAATCCGTTCTGGAAAAAATGTTGCTAAGCGATTTCATCACTAAGCGATAATAAAAAGCCCCTAGAAACACATTAAAATGCCATTAATGCGTTCCTGTGGGCTAAAAACTAACCTTTAAGTGAAGATCCTCCATAGGGGCGGCCATTTTCACTGTCTCTTAAGCGAGGAAACACAGCGGGTGGCCGTTTTTGTTTTCCCGGCAGCCATTTTGAAACCGCCGATCAGCTGTTTAAAAAGGGTCGCTTTGCCATGATCGCTTCCCCGCGACCATCACAAAGTGAAAAAAAACCCATAGAGACCATCGCAAAGCAATTGCTTTTGCGATCGCAAAAACTCCATCACTAAGTGATTTCATTGCTCAACGGAGCAATCGCTAAGCGAGGCACCACTGTATGTCAAAGTAGCCATTCCACAGTCAAGCTTGTTTTTGCCTGGGCTGTCTTTGTCTTGTGTAAGTATGATATGTTTCTGACATATCTTTTTTTCCCTTTTGGCATCTGATCAGATTGACAATCTTTCTCTGCAAAGCAGAAGCAAGCTAAACAAAATGAACATAGCATCACAACAAGGCACCTCATTTTCACCCACTTCTTTCAAGCTATATACCAGCGGAGCATTTTGCAGACAATAGGTCTAATTTTATACAGAACTTGAAAATGGAACCACCAGTTTTCCAGCTACATAAACTTCCTCAATATTCCTGTCATCACCTGAAAGAAAAGAAAAGGAGAGAGGTGATTACATTAAGGTGTGCATCCTGTACCACTGTTTTCTTGGTAACTGCATTTTCCCAAAGCATGAGCACATTGCAAAACTATAAGTACTATAAAACAGCATTACAAAACAAACTGCCTTGTGATGGCAAGCTCTGTGTTTCTAAAAGTTCTGGATATATATACTCAAAAAAAAAGAAAAGAAAAGAAAAAAGAAAAAGAAAAACCAAACCAACCAACTATTCAGGGGTCCTAGGCCTCACACTGCCTACCCTTGCACTTGGCCTTCCAGTGTTACTCAGCTGCCTTAAAAGGGGAACAGGCAGATCACACTGGTTCAGTGATGTGTGTTTTCTCACAAGTAAGTGCAGATTGTGGGATCACCATGTCTGTTCCATTTCTCTTGAGGTGCTGCGGGGTTAAGTATAAAAATTTGGGTCAAAGAGTGTATTATAGTTCTTCTGTTTTCTCACTGATCTCTTCTTGACTTGACTTGGACACATATGTATGCTGATGGATGCTGCCTTTCATCACTCTAGGCCTAAATCCTACTCTGAGTGAAATCTATATACAGTGGTGCCTCACTTAACGATTTTAATTGGTTCCAAAAAAAAATCGCTATGGGAAAACATCGTTAAGCGAAACGCTTTTTCCTATAGAGATGCATTGAAAACTGGATAATCCATTCCAATAGGAATGGATTGCCGTCCTTAAGCAAAAATCGCCCTAGGAAACATCTTTAAGCGAAACGCGGTTCCCCAATTGAAATGCATTGAAACCTATTCAATGCAGTTCAATGGTGAAAAAAAAATTCACAAAAAATTTAAAAAGACTCAGAACAAAGCCAAATTAATTTAATGAAGGTTTTATTAGGTGCACTAACGATTCCAAGCATTTTAAACATTTTTAAACATTTTAGAATATTTTAAAAATAGCAAAAAATGGGGCTGTCAAAAAAAACGTTAAGCGAAACGGGGGACCTAAAACCAAAAACGTTAAGCGAAACACAGTCCCAAAATCGCTAAGCGAAAATCGCCCATAGGGAAAATTGTTAAACGGAGCGCAAGATCGCTCAGAAAAAGCCATTGTTAAGCGAATTTTTCGTTAAATGAAGCAATCATTAAGCGAGGCACCACTGTATACAATAGCAGCTTAATCATCCTTTCTTATTTTTGCTTGACGCCGCTTTTTAAAACTGTTTGTTTTCTCCTTCTAGGCACATTAATACATTAAATAATAATGTCTCGTGATGTCAATCCTGACTTTTCAGAGCTTTCTAGGTAGAGAATACTCAGAAGTGGCTTACCCTTCCCTTCTTCTGGGGGCATCCTTGGATTGTGCAGCTTTCTCAAGCTACACAAGCTGGCTCTTCCCCCAGGAGGCACAATGGGAATAAAATTCTCAGCTCTATACCCAAATACGTAACACACTCAACTCTACTTAATACATTAATAATTTACTTAGTAAACTTGATAGATTCTAATCATCTATCATAATAAAAGAAACAATATGTTCCAATTTGCCTGCCTCTTCCCCTTTTCTCTGGTCATTGACGTCAGACAGGAAGGGACAGAATCCTCCTCAGGGGCCTGTGAGGCGTGGAACATGCCAGTGGGCATGACCAGTAGCCATGGATTCACTCATTTAGGGCTGAGGCAGCCTGTCCAAAACTGAGTGCTGTGTAACCTTGCTTGAATATTTTATTCTGACAAACTAAAATTACTGCAATATATGTCAAGCTGGGCATCTGTACTACTAGAAAGAAAAAATAAAAATTTACATTTTAAAAGAAGGTTCTAACAAAAACAAGGGGAGCACTTTAATGCTTGTAGGAGACAGATACCTCTTTCGCAATTAGACAAAAATATCTGAATGGTGAGAACTGGTACATACCGAGATACAGAAATTTCTGGATAGTGTCCTAAAAATAAGGAAGAAAAAGCAATTATTCAAAAAGTGGTTTTATTTTGTTTGTTTGTTTGTTTGTTTGTTTGTTGGCTTTCTACCCCGCCCATCTAGACCAAAGGTCTACTTTGGGCAGTTTACAAATTTAAAAACAATAAAACCAAAAACATATATTATAGATCCAAGGTGGCCATTAAGACATATTAAGATATGGCAGGAGGGAAAGCCTGCCCAAATAGCCAGGTTTTAAGTCTGTTCCTGAAAACACCGAGAGAGGGAGCCAGGCGGATCTCCACTGGCAAGTTGTTCCAAAGGCGAGGGGCCACTGCGAAGAAGGCCCTGAGAAGGTTCCTTCTTGCTATTAAAAACAGCCAGTTAATAATTAAATATTATTCTGAAACAAATCTAAAAACTCTCAACAATTTATAAAAGAAAATCAGTATTTACTTAAAAGGCAATTTTGAATGATCAATACTATAAAATGTTGACATATCACAACAGATGATCATTTGTTATAAATTATATCTCAGTGCATACAATTTTTTAAATCTTGTATTCTCCTGTTTCTTATTATGACACATTATCTTATTTCTTCCTTTCTATTTGAATCTTTTAATTCTCAAACTGGAGACCACTATTCAAGAAATAAAAATAAAAACAATAGCTTTAGGCTTGAAAAATTATACTGTCTGAAGTGTAAAATTTATGACTAGAATCTGGATTAGTTCACTTCATGCATAGTATTATTTCATTTATCTTATTGTTCCTTTTCATTTTTTCAACAGTAAATATCTTCTGGAATAAAGGAAACCCCTTTCCTAGATTTAATTCCATTAGGTAGGAAAGGGGTAAATTATACCCCTTTCCTAGATTTAATTCCATTAGGTGCAAAGTGAACCAAAAGGGCTGCTTTTTTAATTCTTGCTCTCTTTATGTTGAGTTCATGTTAGGATCTGTCCACAATGTGAAATTTGATGCAAACTGGCTTGTGATTAAAAGATTGCCCCGTTTCGTGAGTCGTCAAAAGTTGACGACTCACAAAGCACAAAGTTGCCCCCATGAAGTGACGAATAACAGTTATTTGTCGATTCATGGGGGGGTTATTAAAACACACACACTGCCACCCCCACCTCCCACTGCCACCGCTGAACTGTCACCTCCACCCCCACCCCCCACTTACTGTAATGGCTTCCACCTGCAGCTTCATTTAGGGTAGAGAAGCTGCAGCTGCCATCTTTGCAAAGGGCAGCCAGTCTCCCTTTTTATGCAGTGTGGCTGCAGAGGCCAGATGGAGACCTGGGCGGCGATTATGGTAAGGGGGTATTGGTGGGGGGCTAAGGTAGGGAGTGGAAAGGATGGGGGTAGGCTGTGGGTGAGGTGGCTGCCTGTTGGCTTGCTGATCAACTCAGCTGTTTTTTTTAATTACGGAGGATGAATAAAAATGGGAAAATATTCATCGATCTGTATTCGTCGGGACTTAAAATTTGATGAATACGGATTGACGAATATTTAATGAATCAGCTATTTTTGTAAAAACAAACAAACCCAATCCATTTTTATTTTGGCCCCCATCTCTAGTCCTTATCTAAAGTGCAATCTATTTTAACTCTTTGTATCTGTCTGTGAAGCAGAACAAAGAACTATTTTGCATCTCAGTGAATTGTTCCAAAAAGACTGCATGTCCTAGCCCTACGCCAGAAAGATACGGGCCAGCTCTTAAAGGGGAAGGATAGATTGTTTTAAGAAGAAACACAAATAGATGAGGTCTTCCCCCCCCCATGCCAAACAGTGCTATCAAAAGAACCATACATCACAACTATATGCCCATGTGGACAGGCTTACAGTTGTGAAAAAGAGTGCCAGGATTTACATGGACTCCTTGTACAGCTGAATGAACCCAAAAGCCACATTGTCCAAGCCTCTGGACTCAGTTGGTTCCTTTGCATGTGGACAAGATACTTCCTTGATGCACAATGTGCTTCCGTGTTCATTTTACCTCGCAAGTATCAGAAGCAAACAAGTCGAAAGGGCTGTCTGAAGCTTTGGTGTTAATAAGCAGTGCATCAAATTCTTTGCCAACCTCGAAGTTTCCAATCACAGTATCTAGTCCCAGAGCTGTGAAGCAAAATAAAATAGTGTAAGACTCTCTTCCACACAATCCCATTCTGTACACAAAGACCCGATTCAGTGAGAGGACTGGGTATTTCATGCTGCAATGGGAAGAAAACAATCAGCTAATCATTTACAAAGAACACACCTTGTACCTGTTCCTATGCCACCTTGGATAAAGCACTATTGGAACCAGTAGAGGGCAGCTTACATCAAAGGTTTTTCTGAACTCCTTTTAGGACCAGCCCTAAATCACCTAGTCACAAGGTATTTCCTCCAAAGCATGCAATCTTGAAATGACAGTCTGAATAATAATAATAAGGATATTTAGAATGGGGTAAAGAGACCTCTTGAAATTGAGGGTCACACTCTGTTGGAAAAAAGGGTTTGGGGTCTGAATATCAGTGATAATTAGTGCCAGGTTGTTTGTACTCAGAGCTGAGTGGGGCCGAAGCCAAATATGGGCAGCCATGGCATTTCTATCTCTCTTTTCTGTTTTGTTTTGTTCATATGTCACCTTCCTCCCAGCAACGAGACTCAAGGCAAGTTAAAATATGGTTAAAAACAATAGAACATTAAAATACAGTGGCTGAAGCCATATTGCTTAGTGCAATAAGTTGCGCTAGAACAGGCCCACTGAATTACCAGCCTTCCTCCATGTCAGCACAATTAATGTGTCTGTCTGGTGGGTGGAACCCCAAAATGGAGTCAAAAACAAATGCACACACCTAACACTTATTTTTCATTCATTGGCCAAAATCCTGTTAGGTAGCTATGTCTTCATAACTTGAAGCCATGCACACTGTTGCAACATTTGCACCGTGGTAGAAGTCTTATACAGAAAGCAGTTCCGTTGGTGTAGTTGTGTAGTCAGTTGCCCAGTTAGTTGTGCGGTCAGTTGTGCAATTAGTTGTAAAAGGATTGCCTGGGTGTAACTCCCTGTGAATTTATGCAGGAATAACTTTGCTATTCCAAGCCCGAAAGGAATTCAGCCACTGTCAACCAACAAATATAGCATCCTGCATGCCATTCTAATGGGACACAGGAAGAACATAGACCTAACATTTCACTGAAAGCAGTTCTTGAAACCTTAGACAGTGGCATGCCTGTTTCTTCATTTTAAGTTCTAGTTTGCATGAGACATCTGCCTTTACATTTATGCCTATTATAAAATAGCAAATGTTTTCTACTGACTTCTAAAACCCCTGTATACTCACATTACTGACTGTAAGACTAGGCTGACACATATTGCTAGGTGTTGCTGTTTATGTCAGATTTTGTGACATCTTTGGCCTTATTCACCTTTGTCTGTTGTTCAGTTTTGAAACAAAGTACATTCATTTATTATAAATAACAATCAAATGCAACACACAATAATTGTTTTACACACTACTGTACATGAATAGCAGTTGCGTCTCCGCCACAGTAAATGGCATACAGAATCATGGAAGATAAGTATTTTAAAGATTGCAACAATTTTGCAACCAAAGGCTCATCCAGGTTACACTTCTTTGAATTCCCCTTCAGTCATGGATCATATCAGAAATTCCTCTGAGATCCAGATGACATTTTCCTTATTTTGATGTGTACTGCTTCTTTCCTCCTGTTCCCCAGATCTTTTTATATGAGTACATTCGCAAAGTTTTGTGTTGTGTTTTGTCCTGGCGTGTTCTGGGTGTGGAATCTCTTTATGACGTCTGCACCTTGCTTTTGTTTTGTTAAGAATTTCTTTTCAATCCCACCCCCCTTTTTATATATAAAAGAGGATTCTAGTGCCAAAAAAATGGATGGGGGGCACAAGAGAGATGAGGTGGCATTTTATTTTATTTTACTTTATGTTGCTTTTGTTTCCTCATTAAGACTAGCAAGGAGAAGAACAAGAATCAAGCCACTCCCTCTTGGGCAGTCTCCTTTCTTCTCTTGCCACCTCTCTCTCTCTCTCTCTCTGTCTGTCTGTTTATCATTACCCAAAGTTGCCTGCTTTGAGAGTTCAGGCTGCCCTGCAGCAGCCCAAGACAAACATTTCTCCCATCCACATGAAACACTTCTGCCTCCTCCTCTTGTCTCTTGTCCCCTCACAGTAATACCAGTGGCTGAAAAGCAGTGTCTTGCTCATCTTCTGTCTGTAAAACTTCCACGGTGTGTTTGGGGGTAGCAAGAGGAATCAGCTCATTGTCATTGATCCTGATAAATCCAAACTTCACAGAACAAAGCAGGATAAAGCAGATCAAAGTAGGGTGGTGAAAAGTTGTATAACAACAACAAAGTCCAAGGCCACACAGGCTGGCTCTGCTCACAGGAGGCACAATGGGGAATCAAACTCCCAACCTCTGGTTCCACAGCCAGATACCTTTTCAGCTTTTCAGCCCACCACAAAGTTGTATAGAGCCCCCCCCCCTCCAAATTCTCTCTAAGTTGACTTCCTAGGTGTGTGTGGGTCTGCTTTCAGCCCGCCACAAAGTTGTATAGAGCCCCCCCCCTCCAAATTCTCTCTTAGTTGACTTCCTAGGTGTGTGTGGGTCTGCTTCCGCTCCTCACAGTGATGTCTTTGGTACAAGTTCTACAAGAAAACACAAGAGGGCAGTAGGAGATCAACAGACTTAGAAGTCAAGGCTGCTCAGAGAAAACAGAAAGCTTCAGTGCTGAGATTTTCAGTGGGAGAAAAGGTAATTTTTAGAAGGGTGACTGGAGGATGGAGAAATAAAACACTCTCCAGCCAGTAAGAGCAATCCTGTTAACACTATGCAGACCAACAAAGACCCTTCTCTTCACTCAGTAACTGGCTGCCTAAGGGCAAGTTCTTTAAAATGGGGGTGCTGGGTTTTTTTTTTGTCTGTTTGTTTCTTTTTTTAAAAAAGGTTTTTAATATTGTTCGTTCTAGTATTGTAATCTCCCTTGGGTCCTCTTGAGCAGGAAGGTGGGTTATCGATATTTTAAACAAAGGAACAAACAATATTCTGTCAAATATTCTTTTAAGCAAGAAGAGCAGCTTCAGGACTCCAGAGAGGCAGAGATTAGAACTGTGGAAGGAGCTGAGACAAAAGGTGATGATGTTCAAAACCACTTTGGGAATCACTGAATTTCAGCTCTCATCATAGCTAATGGCATGGAATGATAGGAACTGTGGCACAACATCCAGAGAGACGCACGTGGCCCTTCTCTCTGTGGAATGATAGGAACTGTAGTACAGCAACATCCAGAGAGACACATGTGGGCCATCCCTGTGTTAAACCTGTTCTACCACAGTTTGTTCACTTAAAATTCTACATACCTTAGCAGCTTAGCTCTTTGAGGGGTACCCTCATGTACACATATTTGGGAAGCCTATTGGAAGAGCAAATTGGAACAATTTGGGGGAAAGCAGAAAAAGAGTTAAGAGCTTCCTGTTTTCATTCTGTTTCTTCCTTTTGATCACTCCTCCAGAAGTGTGTAGTTTTTCCTGCTTAAAAGGAACCACTCAGATAATTCAGGGCTGGGAATTTTTAGCCCTTTTGATGGACTCCAGTTCCCATGAGCTCCAGCCAGCCCAGCCAGTAGTAACAGATTATGGAAGATGTGGCCAAAAATATCTAGAGGGACAACAATTCCTAACTGCTGGTTTGATATAAAATTAATGTGCACATAACTTGTTCAGTCATGATATCTGAATGTTACATTCTGTAATGATGTTGAGACAGGCAAATACAACAGATTTTCCCATAGATAAATGCCGAGTTGAGAGGAAAATGGTTTCCATCATGTGGAAGTATCCTTCCGGAAAAACAAACAAACAAACAACAGCAGAAAAATGCTACAATTTTAAATATACATAATTTTTTTTTTTGCTCCAAATGGAGATGTTTTCAACAAACATACATGTGCAGAGTTTTCCATCCTAAACAGAAAATTCATTCAGAGTACATTCAAATACCAAATATTAAACCCAGAATTTGAGACCCTTAGGTAATCAGATAGTGGTAAAGGAAATTTCACCATTTCAGAATGTCTCTCTCTAACATAAATATGCATTACTTTTAATTATAGCTTTTTACCATCAATTCCTTAATAACATTACCCTAAACTGTGGCTGCTATGTTTTCTAATGGACAGAACATTTTTTTTTTAAATGAGATTTTTCACCTTGGCTCCCTCCAAGCGTTGCAAGCCGGAAAGCTTCCTTCAGAGTTAAGCCAGCTTCATGTTGTTGAGTAATGTGAAGAACGTTAGATACCATGATTGCCTTTCTGATAGCATCAAGCATGGAAGCTGAATAGCCACCAGCAACATCTATAATAGAAAAGAATATTAAAAATCAGCCTGCAAGGAAAGTACAGTAGTAGAAAATGTGAACTTCATTAAATATTTTATTCAGTCATTCAGTGTATATCCTGCCTCATTAGAGTGCAGGGCAGCTATTCACATGAGACACAGTTAAAAGTAGCAAGGTATACATATCTAAGGCCATAAATTACAAATATATAAAACCACAAATCACACCCATCTAAAACTGCATGTATCTAAAATGACAGATGAAAATATGTGCTAAAAATATTGTAAAAGCAAGCAAGACAAGCAACAATCAAAGGCAATGTGGGGAACTTATTATTCCCTCTAGCACTGGTTCCTACCTTGGGTCCCCAGATGTTCTTAAACTACAATTCCCAGAAATCTTGGCCAGCACAGCTAGTGGTGGAGGCTTCTGGGATTTGAAGTCCGAGAACAACTAGATTACCTAAAGTTGGGAACCTTGGCAGTAAGAACTAACAATCTCTGGACTCCCAGTTAGCAGATGACACTGTCCGCTGGGGAGGGAGAGCCAGAAGATATGTGGAGCTGGAGTCAGTTGGAGTTGCATCATCCCTTGGAAATTTTAATCACTTGAAAGTCAGGTTAAGAATAATTAACATCAATAAAACTAAGATCATGGCCACTGGTCCCATCACCTCCTGGCAAATAGAAGGGGAAGATATGGAGGCAGTTACAGATTTTACTTTCTTGGACTCCATGATCACTGCAGATGGTGACAGCAGCCATGAAATTAAAAGACGCCTGCTTCTTAGGAGGAAAGCGATGACAACCCTAGACAACATCTTAAAAAGCAGAGACATCACCTTGCCAACAAAGGTCAGCATAGTCAAAGCTATGGTTTTTCCAGTAGTGATGTATGGAAGTGAGAGCTGAACCATAAAGAGGGCTGACTGCCCAAAAACTGATGCTTTTGAATTGTGGTGCTGGAGGACACTCTTGAGAGTCCCCTGGACTGCAAGAAGAACAAACCTATCCATTTTGAAGGAAATAAACCCTGAGTGCTCACTGGAAGGACAGATCCTGAAGCTGAGGCTCCAATACTTTGGCCATCTCATGAGAAGACTCCCTGGAAAAGACCCTGATGTTGGGAAAGTGTGAAGGCAAGAGGAGAAGGGGACGACAGAGGCCGAGATGGTTGGACAGTGTCTTCAAAGCTACCAACATGAATTTGACCCAACTCCGGGAGGCAGTGGAGGACAGGAGGGCCTGGCGTGCTCTGGTCCATGGGGCCACGAAGAGTCAGACATGAATGACTTAATGACTAAACGATAAAGAATAATTTAACTAAATAGCACAGTTTTCCTCATGCCTTTTTGTAGAGCTCAGTGAACTGTTTCAGTCATCCCAAAGCCTTTATTCAGATGTAAAGCCTGAAATCATTTAGGGCTCAAAGGTTGGCTCACAACCCCTATGCACACAGTGGTGCCGAATGTGCAAGGCTCTGCAGGGCTTCAAGATGGTGTATGTGGGCATGAGAAGCAGGCCTTATCTGTATCCACACATCTCTACCACCCTTTGACCTGTACAGATTATCAGGCTAATGTTTAAATGGGGTTCTGGGATGGTTTTGGATCTTAGACAGTTATTTGGTTTGAAAACACTAACTCAACAAATAGTCAACACCTTGAAAAAGGGAAATCAGGTAACTCTTATTTCTGCATTTAATGCAGCGTCAAGTAATGTTACCAAGACTTTGTGATATTTAACACTTTCTCCCCTCTTTTTACCAGAAGTATCAGTTATTCCAGGGTTGTACTTGGAAGTGGGCTGGGGAATGACAGCTGTATCAGCTAGATTCCAGAAACTATACTACCACGATGTTGGGGTAGAAGTGTATTATTCTGACAGTAGCTTTATCTTAAGGGGAAGGAAGGAAGAGAGAGACTCAATAGGGTATTATTTCCAGTTAATATCCTTTTATATTTTAAATATGTTAAAACTGCTGTTAAATAATCAAAATATGGAAGATGGTTGCTAGTTAGCAAATAGTTGCAGTTGCATACTATGTACATGTCTCTCTCAAAATAATGATTGATAGGGAGCAGATGACAGTAAAGATTACTAACCTGTGCCAAGGCCAAGTTTCACATGGTGCTGGAGAACCTTTTTTGCATTAAAAAGCCCACTACATATACTGGGTTGAAAGTGAAGAAAAAGGGGAAAATGCATTTTTACCATTAGGAAAAAAAAAATCAACATTAGAGACATTGTAACATTTTGCAAATAAAAGCCATTCCTAAAGTTCAAGTCAGCAGTGGATAAAAAGGGAATGAAAGAATTGTTACCAAGGTGATTAGGCTTATGCTATCTATACTCCTTTGACTCTGGAAACGTCTACACTGCCTGTAGATGCATCATGTAACAGCTTAGACCTGCAGGGCAACCAAGTGCATACACAACAGATGAGACTTCTGCATTTATGAAACACCGTACATAATATGTGTGGCCCACTTCCTGCCCAGTCCTTAATCCCGTCATGTCATCCATGGTGCTCTCCCACAGGGCCTTCCAGAGCCTGTAAAAAGGGAAGGCTCTATGCTAAGGCATTGCTGCCACTACTAAACACATTCACCTTCTTAACATTTTGTTGAGATCAAAGATCCAGATCTGCATGCAAATGTCCAACTCTGCACTCTCCATCCCTAGCAAACTCAGCAGCATATCCCTGCTAAATCCTCTCCTAAGTTAAGATCTTGAACATCAATTTTTTTTCCAGTAAGACGGAATTTTTTTTCAGCCTTCACTCATACCACTGTTTGCTTTCTCCTTACCAGCAAATTTGCTGTCTTGTCTGTGCTAACTTTTCTTTATACTGTGACCCCCTTCTTGAAACAATGAGGATTTCCAGGTGTCAGCCTGGGATTTCTTGCCACCTTTGCCTTCATTTGGTACCAGATTTCTACTTCCATCAGTCACACCCGTCCACTCTCACCGCCTTCCTTTAGTTCTTCTACTCAGATATCCCAACTTTTGCTGTTGCCTGCCCATATCAAAGTTATCAAAGTTATCATAGAATAACTGAGTTGTAAAAGGCCTATACGGCTTTTGAAAGCCTCCAATGTTGGAGCACTCACCATCTAAATCATCAGATGAAATGTACAGTGAAATTAGACAACCTTAAAATACAAGATGAAAGATATTGCTATCTGAAACACAGCTTTGAATAATATAATTTATTTATAATTTAAGTATTACTTGTGAACTGTAATATTTTACTTACGATATGTTTGAATTAGGGCAATGTACAATGGCAGCTCCTCTAAGATTTAACACATTAAGCTCTTCATCAGAAAGGTAGCAGCCGTGAGCCATTATGGTCTACAGATTCAAAACAAAACAAAATGGTGCACTTGATCTTTTTCTGTCATTGACAGTTACTGCCAAAAAGTGTGCTGCTTATATACTGCCCCATAGTGCTTAAAACACTCTCTGGGTGGTTTACAATTTAATTATGCAGTTTAAACATTGCCCCTCCTGCACCCAAACTGGATACCAACTTTACCAACCTCGGAAGGATGGAAGGCTGAATGAAGCTTGAGCCAGCTACCTAGGATTAAACCTGGGTCATTAGAAGAGTTTGGTGGCAGTAGCACTGTACCACAAGGCTCATAGAACTACCTCTCCTTGTTCTTGAGAGAATGTGCAAAGTAAGAATCAAATATTGTTTTGTCAATTTACGTTTTGCCTCAAATGTTGATTTGGGCATCACTTGTGAAGGGACTCTTGTACCACACCATGACAGTGCTCACACTAGTTCATTAGAGTTCCAGGACATCGGTATGTGATTCTTTCAAACAAAATTAATCCTATGTCTCTGCAGGTATATTTCCATGGGGTGGGGTGCAGTGAGAGAAGGCACCCTTTTCTGTTGCATATATAATTCAGATTTTTTTCTACTTCCTGTCCCAACTTCTTAAAAATTCAAGGTGAGTTGTAGCATCATAGCTCCATGAGTGGAGCGCTATGTGCTTCCTCCTCCCATTTCCAAGGTGCAGATATGTAAGCTAGAGGTTGCCCTATCGGAAGTAAAGTGGGAAAATGTGAAGAGCACATGGAATAGACTGTTTTGTGCAGTGTTGAGAGTAAGCAGAATATTGGGCATTATGCTGCATAAAGGGATTTTTAAATGAGTTTTTAAATCAAAGTATCCCCTGTTCTCAGATAATCAAGGAACATCTTCCTAGTATTCAGCATAAGAAGGCTCCACAATATGCCAACCTTGGAACTGTCAGTAGTAAACTCTGATCAGCAGCAACTTTATTTAGAAACATAGCAGTTAAATTTGAATCTCATTAACATTACTTATACCATGTAAACAAGGCACTAATTGGCACTAATTCAGCTAATAAAATGCTATTCAAATCTGAACATCCAAAGGGAGATTTTCAAAGGAAACTAGTCCTATTCCCTCAAGATTTGCAAAGTATTAGAAATGCTTTCCCAGTCTTTGAAAAATCTCTGTCACAAACCCTTTTTGACAATACATGCCTCTAAGTAAAGACTGCAGTAATATGAAAATTGCATTCACTAATGAAGTCATCATTAATGTCAGAGTGCTTTGGGTTAGGGAAGTAGTAAGAAAGAAAACTGTCTGAAATATCTTAGGATTTATAGTGAAATCAATTCAGTGCACACAAAAATCTTCCCTGCACTTGACATTTTGGGAGTTTTCTTAGAATCTTGGATGTACTGGAACTCTGTTAGATAGGACAGAATACAATTTTAAAATGAAGTGAATTCAGCAGAATAGGCAGAGGCTTCAAAAACAAAAAAGATCAGTAACTGTTTCAGTGAAGAAAAGCAGGCATTAATCATTCCATGTAAAAATGTACATTCACACAAATGTAAAAATCTATTATCAAAAATGTCAAGCTGAGTAATGGAAAATACTATAAATGATTTATGCACAAATCACTCATAGATCATAGTTTAAGTGTTTGTTTGTTTGTTTGTTAGATTTCTACCCACCCATCTAGACCTAGATCTAGTTTTAGTGTTAAGCAGCTTCTTGTATGAAGTATCCTAAGCTGAGGAGAGATCGTTTATATCTGTATAAATACTTGTGATAAATCTTTAAAAAAGAGTAGGCAGCTATGGCCCTTTAGATGTTTGTAGGCAAGAATACCTGTCTAGTCAATGATGAGGGCTTATGGAAGCTACAGACCAAAACATCTGGAGGGCCACCATTTTATCAGGAGTTGGAGGACGTTAAATATGTTTTGGATGGCAACACATAGTTTCACATGATGCAGTCTTATTAAGTGATGTTAAGAAGATCCAAATCTGGCCCAAAATGAGAAAAAAACAAGAATCCCAGTTATGCCACAATTAAATGCCATGATGGGAGAACAGTAAGATATCAATGTACTTAATAAGCCTGCTTGAGGGGTTATGAAAGTGTATACAGTGGCAAGTGAGGAGGGGGAGCACCCTAGCTTTGCTCCTCTGCCTTTGCCCTCGACACTTGGAGGGCAACAAGTGTGAATGGAAGAGAATCTGCCTATCTGACTTTAACATGAAAATTCAGGAAAACCAAGGGCCTGCCTGTGAAGAATGTTCTTGGAAAACAAAATATTTCTGCTTCAGACTCATCACCCTTCACAGGCCAGAGAGCGACAAAACTACAGGCAGAAGGGGCACAACAAAATGTTTCACTCTTTCTGTGTAGATAATAATACCTGAATATGGGTATATATAAATAATATGTTTGTCACCTTTTGCATTTGCCATATCCCAGATGCACTTTTTATCAATTACCAATCTGATCAATTACCACAGTTTATCTCAGCAGTACTTTCTACCCCTTGAACAAAGCACAGGACATTTCCAGATATACTCCTGGCTACTAGTTTTATGTCGTTCTTTAAAATATCATACCTTGTTTGTAAGAAGTTTATTTTTATCATACAATTCAGTATAATGTTGATACGATGGAAACATTTTCTCCACAAGTTTGATCTCTTCTTCACTCTCACTTATGTGGCTCTGTGTGAATTTTTTTAAAAAAAAAAAAAAGAAGAAGAATGCAATAATCATCACTCTTGTGTATGCTTAGCTGAAACACCAAGAACAAGAGGAACAAAAGAAAACTCTCAAAAACAAACAACTGAGTAATGGTTTCAATCCAACTGAGTACCGTCATCTGGGTTGCTTATGCATTGCTCTTTCTGCATTCAATTTTTAGTATTAAAGAGGAATTGGTGAGATTCAGTCCAGTCTTGCTTTCCCTCCTGCAAAGCTAATCAGCGGGATATCAACATTTTAAAGAGTCACACCCAACACAACTGTAGACAATGTGAAGATATAAGTAAAAAATGTGGGGAAAGCAGTTAAGAACACAGAAAAAAATACATTTGGCCACGTTGATTGCCAGGCAGCTTGTTTCATCAGCATGTTTCTGATCTAGCTTCAATCTTTAAAAAAAACCCAACAACACAAGAACTCAACACAATGTTCCTGTTCAACATAATTTTGTGGATAAGAACAAAACATTTCATGTTCATGAGCAACACTATTTATAAAAAAACAGCACTAACAGTAATTAGGTGAAATATGAAGGCTTAGATGCAGGGACCTGTGATTTAAAGGACGAGTTTATTTTTCCTTGCCTGGCAACTTCACATATTCACAGAATAATGGTATCACGAACAAGAGCAACTATGCTGTTCTGTAGAAGATGGCACCACACAAGACCAAACAACAACAAAAACAAAAATACCTCAGTACCAGCAGTACTGTTATTGTCACACTGAGTTCAGTGACTGGTGAATCTGTAGGTTCTGCTTCACTACTGTGTAGTATGATACAATCACTCAGCACTGTGAGGTATCTGATTACTGTGTTCCCATATGTTGGAGGCTGTACTAATAAAACAGTGCTTCCAATTTTCATAAATATTTCCTACCTACTTAGCTCCCTATCCCCTCCCCAACAAAATAACTGCTTTTGAGGGTTGAGGAACCTTCTGGCACAGTACATTACAAAGGTGGGGGCCATGATGAATATTGGATGTAGCATAGAGATGGGCATGAATTAAAAAAGCTAATTGCAAAATCCATCAATATTTGCTAATTGGTTGATTTGTATTGTTAGAAGTGATGCCCCCCAAACAAATATGAATCAATGAATTTGTTTGCAGTTTTCAGTTTGTCTAATTTTTTGGCTGTAAAACAGCCCCCCCCCCAGGCACCTAAAGGCACTAAAAGCACAGAGACGATTTACCTGACTCTTCTCTAAAAGCTCTGAAAGTTTGGTGAAGTTTGAGTTTTGGATGTCTGAGTTATACATCCACAAAGAGGGCCCACCCAGGAAAGTCCCCCCTCAGGAACACCAACATTGCAGAGAAATTTCTCCCAACTCTTCTCTGCAATCCCTTCAAGTTTGGTGAAGACTGAGTTTTGGATACATCCACAATGGGTTCCCCCAGGAAAATGCCCTTTAGCAGCAGGCTTGGGGGAAATTTCAGCACTTCTGCAAGCCAGCTGCTAAAGGACATTTTCCTGGGGGGCACTTTGTAAGTGTATAACTCAGATGTTCAAAACCCAGACTTCACCAAACTTGCAGGACTTGTAGAGGAGAGTCAGAGGAAGCCTCTCTGTGATTTTGGTATCTCTTGGTGTCTGGAAGGGGGCATTTTATAGGATTTTAAAGATGAGTCAACAAATCAATTCAATGATTAATCATAAAAATTCATAAATTTGTGAGTTGTCGACCTTGACAAATTACGAATTGCAACAAATCATCATTTTTTTTTCAATTCATGCCCATCTGCAGTGTAGAAAGTGGAAGAGGCGTGAGTGCTCAAAATTACAAAGGTGCTGATTTAACCAAAATCTCATTAATTCAACAGGTCTACTCTAGCTGGAACTGACAAGTGAATTTAGACCAAAGTTTCACAAAATAAGTACTACTTTGATGGAAATGATATCTGCATCTGAAGAAAAAACTAAATAATCATTGCACATGTATCATGCAATTAAATAATAATCAACAATGGCTCTCATTCCTATTTCAAAGTATTTGACTTTACATTAAGAAAAATGAACAACATTGTAATGCAAAATCTCAGGGAGATCATTCTGAAATTAACCATTTTGAACAGCAAGCTTTTTCAGTTTCCTATGTTTACACTGTGAGGTGAAAAGGGGCATTCTCAGAGAATTTCCAAGTCCTCTAGTTTTATCTGAAAGGTTATTCAATCTGAAGTTGGTCCTATGAATCTGAAGGAAATTTCACAGGGTATATCATTTCATTTATTACTGCAGATATTAATGCAGTGAGCTGAACAGGGTTTTCTTTGGGTTTTTTTTTTAAAGCTATTCAGTATCTGAAAACTGCTGGGTACATGAATTCTCACTGAATACAATCTGAGCTTACTTACCTGCACATGAATATCATGAGTCTCTGCCAGGTTACCAAGGCTACTAAGTAATTCCTCTGTACAGGCTGGTCCAAAACGTGGTGTTACTATGGGACGTACTCGTGGATACTGAAAATGTTCAAATATGAGAGATCACCATGCGTATTTGTGCACTGCAGCATACTAATCATGCAGATTTTACCTAGGGGTATGTATCATCATTATTTTTTTTAAAAGCAAGGGCTTTTTAAGGCCAGTATAGTTTGCTTTTTGGAAAACAAATATTCTGCTGTGATGAGATCACAGTATTCACATAATCAAAAAAGGCATCAATTAGGACAAACAAAGCATGTGCAGATTCAATTTTTAATGAATCATTATTTTCCAGAAAGGTGCTATTTAATTACCAAAAAGTCTGTCTGCTGATTCATGTCTGGCATAAAACTGATGTCTGTTAAAATGATTTTTTTTTCCTATATATGCACACAGATGATAACCACAAGGGGGGAATATACACCGAATATGCAATTATCATTAAAAACAAGAGGGAATAAATGAGGGAGCATTCAATGTTTATTCAGAAGACACCAAATAGAACTAGTTTTGTATGCAGAAAGTAGCTCATTTGTCTACATGGGAAGTCTGTGAAATAGGTCACTCATACATTACAGGAAAAAAATATTTAAAAAATGTGCATAAATACAATTTTGTATCCATGATTAGTGTTTTGAAATAGAAGCAAAAATGATAATAGACTCTATTCTGCTGTTCAGCCAGAAACATGTGGGCATGGGACGCAGGGCCAGCTTTCAAGTTCAGCACTACACTTGCAGTCCGTATTTTCCAGTATTTTAAGAAAACTGTTCAACAGAAGTAGGATCAAGAGTGGGGAACCTTTTTGACCTTGATGATTGAATTCAGAGAGGTAATCAGAGGCCACATTCCAACATGTGGTAGGGCCACAGGAAAATGGTGGGACCAAATTTCCTAACATATTTTGGTTAGAGGTGATTAGAATATACTGCAGAGGGGGCATGTGCCCCTCAGGGCATTTTTATGGCTGCTGATCACCTCAGAACCCTCCTACCCCAAGTGTTTATGGGGGGGAAAGGTGTTTAAGAAACTTTGGAGGCCACCGGGAGGTCCTTAGGTGTAGCAGGTTTAGATCTAGGGAGGTTGTAGAGTCTCCCAACTTTTCTCCTCACCCCTAGTCCCAAATTAATTAATACCAAAGTTACCATCTGGGTACTTCTACGGTCTTCCCCAATGCAAATGTTTCTGACATTTTTGGACATTTCTCAGCCTGGTGCTGTTTGTTACAGGTTCTGAGGGTACAATGTTGGCAGCCAAAGTCTGGCTCCCCCCCCCCACTTTGTTTTTCCTGGAAGCTTGTGTTGCCTGTAGCTAAGCTTTTAGAGAGGTCATTCATCCTTAAAGAAAAAATAAATAACCAAAAACAAATGCACAAACACCGCTGTTTGAATGCTTGAAAAATTCCAGATGGTAGAAATGGGAAACCCCAGAAGGCAACATTTTGACCATAAGAGGGGAAAGCTTCCTCCTTTGTGGCTTACACAGAATGCATAGGATGGTTAATTAATTGTTTTGGAAAATAAAATGAATTCTACTTACTTTTTTCCCCAATACTCCTTTAACAAACCTAAAAGGATTGGGGAGAGGTGTTAAAGAAGAATATTACTATTACATTTTAGTGGTTAGAACCAGGTACAAATACAGTTGGAGAAGGGGTAATAGAGAGAGATAGTTTTATGTAGGTTTGTACATATAATTCATACAGAAACAGGTTCATGTATGGCTCACTTGAAAGTGATAGCTGTGTGAACACTGTTTTTTGGAGGTCAACAAGACTGCAAATGTATGCCAACTAATGATTTTGACTGCAAATCTATAGAAGCTGTCAGTAATAACAGTATACATATGGTCATTACTACACTTCCTGTGACATCTAAATAGGTAACATGTAAAATTCAGTAAAAGCATAATAATATACTAAAGTATCAGTATTTTTAAATGTAATTTTGCCTCTATACAACCCCCCCAAAAAATGATAGTACTTTTCTTATAGTTCTATTTTTAGATGGCATTAACAGGCTTCATTCATAATACTTGGATATATTTGTATACTGAAAATATTAGATCTAAATCCCTCATTTTTTAAATACCTGGATATACTGTAATAGAAATATTTTCTTCATAAGTTTCGAAAGCAGTGAACATGATATATGTGTTTAAAAATAATCCCCAGCCCTCTGTCAAAAGTATTATTATGTATACTTTTTAATTCACTATTTAATTTTCATTAAATGTAGCATTTAATGAATGTATATATGCATTCTAAGATTATGCTTATTTGAGTTTGTATATAGGCTTTGTTTGCATAATTTCAGCAACCCTGCACCTACCAGCAAAGTTATATCTACTAAACATTATCAGATGAACAATAATACTAATTTCTCTAATATCATCTCTGTTCTCTTTCCGATGCATCATTCAGGCACTATCCTTTAATATTTGGTCTTAAGGAAAATCTCAAGCAGTGTGAAATAGTTTCTTTTACTGATTTGTAACAGGTTTTTAAAGATTTATCCAATTGCCAGTCTCAACTAGAGTATGCCTGTTAAATCAATAGATTTATGTAAGTGTTCACTTACCATAGAATCAACTCTGGGATAGGGACGTGACGGAAGGACTACAATCACTTATAAAAACCACAAATACATATCCCTTTCTTTTCATCCACTTGGGAACAACAGGAGCTTTGAAGATATCACATCAGATTTTGAAGCTCTGGGAAGGAAACTCATGGACTTTGAGGCCCAGATAGTCTTCTCATACATTCTACCAGTGTTTAGAAGAGGAATAGAAAGGGAAATGTTTCAGGAGAATGACTGGCTATGAAGGTGGTGCCACCATGAGAGATTTTGATTTTGGCACCGCAGGCTATGCTTCATGGAAAATATAGTGCTGGCAAGTGATGGTTTGCATCTCACAAGAATTGGGAAAAACCTCATCAAGGATGACTTCAAACTGGATCAGAAGGGGGAGGAAGATGCAAGCTCAGTGGTAAAGAGACAGATGAAGGTCTATGTACAAAAAGAGGAATAGACTGCATAGCTCTAATGGGGCCCAATAATAATTGTTGAAAAAAATGTAGGAAATAAAGCAGGCCACAAATCACACAATCTTTGGTGTTTATACACAAATGCTAGGAGTATGGGAAACAAACAAGACAAACTGGAAATCCTAGTTCAGGAGAGTAAATATGACATGATAGGGATAACTGAAACTTGGTGGAATGATTCCCATGACTGGAACACAGCAATTGAAGGGTATAAATTGTTCAAAAAGAACAGGAAGAACAGAAGTAGCACTATATGTCAAGAACCACATATTCCTGCATCGAAATACAGGAGAATGAGCTTGAGTATCCCAAAGAGAGCATCTGGATTAATATAATGGGGCAAAAAACAAAAGAAGCATGGTAGCTGGAGTCTCCTACTGACCACCCAATCCAGTAGACGTAGATGAAAGTTTTGAAAAACAAATTGCAAGAATTTCAAAGAAACACAATGTAGTTGTAATGAGAGACTTCAGTTATCCTGATATCTGTTGAGAGATAAATTCTGTGAAATATAGACCTTCCAAAAAAAGAAAAAGAAACCTGGTTTGTGTGGCTGATAATTTTCTCCTACAAAAAGTGGAGGAAGAAAACCGGAGAAGTAGCTATCCTGGACTTGATCCTAACCAAACAAAGATAACTTGGTGGAAGGAATGTCAGCAAGAGGAACTCTGGGAGAAAGTGACAATGTTCTGCTTGAGTTCTTGATTTTGAAAGAAAGAGGAACTCCGGGAGAAAGTGACAATATTCTGCTTGAGTTCTTGATTTTGAAAGAAACAAAAGCAGAGTATAGCTACTCACATATGCTGGACTTTAGGAAAGCCAATTTTAATAAACTTAGAACAGTTAAGTCCCATGGTAGGAAATCCTAATAGTAAAAAGAGTCCAAGATGGATGGAAATTTCTAAAAAGAGAATTCTAAAGGCACACGGGAGAAAGTGACAATATTCTGCTTGAGTTCTTGATTTTGAAAGAAACAAAAGCAGAGTATAGCTACTCACATATGCTGGACTTTAGGAAAGCCAATTTTAATAAACTTAGAACAGTTAAGTCCCATGGTAGGAAATCCTAATAGTAAAAAGAGTCCAAGATGGATGGAAATTTCTAAAAAGAGAATTCTAAAGGCACAATTACAAACAATTCCAACAAGAAAAACAGAGACGGAAGACAGCAAAAAGTACCATTGTGGCTTAACAAAAAGCTCAGAGAGGACTTTTAAACAGCAACAGCAAAAATATATGTACAGGAAGAGTCCAGGCTTTTTTGATGTACAGACAAGTAGCAAAGAATTGCAGGGATGGTGTTAGGAAGGCAAAAGCTGATAATGAGCTGAGGTTAGCAAAATATGTGAAAAGCAACAACAACAAAAAGCATTCTTCAGGTACATGCATAGCAAAAGACAGAAAAAAGGAACAGTGGCTTAGCTACTCAATGGGGATGAGAAAATAATAACAAACAGCAAAGAAAAGGCATGTTTTCAATTCCTACTCAGGAATTCCTGCTCTGTCTTCTTCCACAAGGCAGTCTAGGCAAATGTGAAGTGCAAAGGGAGGAAATAGGATTGCAGCCTGAGATTGCTAAACAAATAGTCAAGGAATACCTTATTACTTTATATGAGTTCAAATCCCCTAAATGCTAGGAATATGTTTCCCATATTCTTGGCATCCAACGATAGTGAAGACACCAGCTGAAGAGATCGCAGAACACCTCTCTGTTATTTTCTTAAAATCATGGAGATTGGGTGAAGCGTCAGATGATTGGAAGAGGGAAATAATCTGCTGAGAACCATTGTTCCACTTACTGTGGGAAGTAAAAGAATCCTATCTCTGCAGCTCCATTCATCAGCAGGACCAGTCACCCTTATTAGTGCATATGCACCAACACTGTCTATGGACAAGCGCTGGCTCTACAGCTTGGAAATGGGGATGAGCACCACCCAGTAGAGTCGGTCATGAATAGACAAAATGTCAAGGGGAACCTTTACCTTTTTTTATCAACACTGTTGTCTACAGCAGAAGTCAAAGACAAATTCTATGACGATCTGACAGCTACTATAAAAAATCCCTGAGAGAGACAGAGTAGCTGTTTATTCTTGGACACTTTAATGCTAGAGTTGGTGCTGATCACAATTCTTGGCCTACTTATCTAGGCTGTTTTGCCATTGAACCCAAATGGCCAATGCTTGCTGGAGTTTTGCTGTTATTATGGTCTTTGTGTCAGCAACATGTTCTTTAATACGAAGCTTCAACACAGAGTCTCTTGGAGACATCCAAGATTGAAGCATTGGCATCCACTCGATTTGCTCCTCACTAGATGCTCTAGCCTTCCTAGTATTACGATCACACACAGTTATCAAGGTGCTGATTGCGATACTGATCACTCCCTGGTGTGTAGCAGAGTAAAACTCCGAATAAAGAGATTGTATCACACAAAAAAGGAAGGAAGACCATGTATTGACATCAACAAGACTCGCGATCAGAGAAAAATGGAGGAATTTGCCAGAGCACTTGAGGAAAGTCTTCCAGGCCTGGTTGGTGCAAATGCACCTGAACAATGGGAACATTTCAAGAATGCTGTTTATAACACCGTTTTCTCCACATTTGGCATGAAGATCAAAAAGATGGCAGACTGGTTTGAAGACCATTCGGAGAAGTTGATGCCAGCCATCAAGGAAAAGAGAAGAGCTCTAGCAGCATACAAAGCCTGTCCTAGTGAGTAGAACTTGCAGGTTCTTTGACTTGCTCGTAGCAAATTCCAACAGATTGCCAGGAGATGTTCTAATGATTGTGGGCTTCAGCTCTGCTCTCAGATACAGAGAGCAGCAGACACAGGTAACATCAAGGGGATGTATGATGCTATCAAGCAGGCTTTAGGTCCAATACAGAAGAAATCTGTTCCTTTGAAGACTGCTACAAGGTGATCATCCAGGACTGAGCACAGCAGATGGAACGCTGGGTGCAGCACTACTCTGAGCTATATTCTAGAGAGCATGTAGCAACTGAAGAAGCCTGCCTGTCTTGGAAGAGTTGGACAGTGAACCAACTTTAGCAGAAATAAAAGCGGCCTTGCATTCCCTCACCTCCGGCAAGGCACCTGGGAAGGATAACATCCTGCTGAAGTGCTGTAAAGAGACCATCACCACTGAGCTGTATGAAATCTTTTGTCTTTGCTGGAGGGAAGGTGGAGTACCAGAGAACATGAAGAATGCAAACACAGGCTCTAGATGCCTGCAGACAGAGTCTATCCAGAATCACATTGTGGATTTTGAGCTAATAGATCCACCACCAACATGGTATTTTCCCTCAGACAGTTGCAGGAGAAATGTAGGGAACAACGACAGCCACTCTTTGTGGCCTTCATAGATCTTACAAACGCCTTTGATTTGGTTGGCAGGGCTGGCCATTTTAAAATCCTCCCAAAATTGGATGTCCATCTCAACTCCTTAACATCTTCAGATCCTTTCATGAGGAAATGAAGGGCACTGTAGTTTTTGATGGCTCAACATCAAATCCCTTTGACAT